ACTGAAAACTACAAAACATTGCTAAGAGAAATGAAAGGAGTCCTAAATAAGTAGGGAAATATACATTATTCATGAAAAGACGTAACATTATTAAGGTGCTTATTCTCCAAAAATTGACTTATAGATTTAATGGAGTACCAATTGGGATCCAACCCAACTTTTTTTTTGAAAATGACATTCAAAATTAATATAAGCATGCAAAGGAACTAGATTAGTCAGAAACACTCTTGACAAGGAACAACAATGTTGGAGGGCTGACTGATTTCAAGATTTGTTATGAAGTCAGTGTAATATCATTGCACAGATAGACAATTAGGTCAATGGATACTTTTTCTCAAGACAGAACTATTGTTCATTAAACCTAGTTATATGGAATAATAATTGATTTTGTCTGTCCAGATAATATCTGATGGCTAGCATTCACGTTCCAATCCACTGAGAAGTGAATGGAGGACTGTATAGAAGAATGCGTTCGTATGGAAACCCCTACTCTGTTCTAAACACAGTGAGGTCTGTGTTTAAAAGGTCAATTTTATGGATCTAATCAAAGTGGAGCTCACAGTAGCAATTGTTGAAGCACTGGCCTACCAGCTCCAGATGGAGAGCAGGCTGCTGACTTCCTTCTTCTGCAGGACAATATGGACTTCTGTGTGTAGCAGGAGGGCACAGCCTGATACATCAGGTCTAGCAGCTGCAGCCTCTTCCAGGGGCAGTTAACACTGAACCACTGCCTGAAGTGTGGGAGAGAACAGAACGTGGTACCAGCCTGAGAACCAAACCCTCACCACCCTTACAGGACCAAGTTCCAAGCAGCCCGTCACATGGTTCTGAGGGAGTGCCCTGAGGCCAAGAAGAAGAGCTACAGGATTAACAGCCAGATTCAGGGAAAGATGGGGAACAACAGCAACAAGATCCTCAAGCTCAAAGTAAGCTGGAACACTAAGATCTCAAAGTACAGGAGGAAAACTAACACTTAAAAGTTAGCAAGTATACTCAAGAAATGAGAAAGAGATAAGAGGATTCTGGAAAGTCTTTGCAATCAGTATGTTTAAGATCTTCTAAGAGGAAAGGAAAGTGTGGGGGATGACTCACGCCTGTAATCCTTGCTACCTGGGAGGCTGAGATTGAGAGAATCACTGTTTGAGGCCAGCCCAAGCAAAGAGTTCTCAAGACCTCCATCTCAACCAATAGCTAGGCTCTGAGGCATGCACCTGTCATTCCAGCTACGTGCGAGGCTGGATTGGGAGAACTGCAGTCTTGGCTCACCTGTATCAAAAAACAGCAAGAGCAAAAATGGCTGGATGTGTGGCCCAAGCAGTAGAGCTTCTGACTAGCAAGGCTGAAGCCCTGAATTCAAACCCAGTACCATCAAAAAATAAGGGGAGGGGGGAGAATAAACAGGTGGAAAAAGAGGCCATTTGAAATTTGGGAAAAGAAAAATACATAATGAGCATAAACTCTAGCATGAACTCATTTGAAGATAAAATTAATGACATTGAAAATCTGTACAAAGGAATGTATCCAGAGCACAGAGCAGAAATGAAAAAATAAGCATGGAAATTGAGGAGCCCCAACCTATTAACCTATTCTTCTTTATTTTCAGAAACAGAAAATAGAACAGGTGGGAGAAAGAGAAGGTTCAAAGGAATAACCACTGAGAACTCTCTAGAACTGAATGAGTTCCAGGTACCAGGGACAGAAGGGAGCTAAGTTAGAACTAATGGGATCTAGAGGCCTTGGCGTTCCTGAAGCATGCACACCACCCACTTAAAGACCGTGCAAGGGGAAAACACTGTGGAATATCCTTTTCTCAGTCAGCCTCTAGCTGTTGACTTGACTTGCCAAAGAACATATAGGCTGTTGAGGCATCGCTAAGATCACTAGTGGTTTAGTCTAGGTGGGCACAGGCTGGGAACCCAAGGTATATGAAATCAAAGGTAAGTCCCACTGAAGATCAATAGATTCCAGAATTCTACCATTCAGTGGAGTGAGCCATGCCTTTCCTGTGGAGTGTTTTTTCTTCTCCAGTGATTCAAATCTGTGAAATCTGTAGTAATGTTTAGCTGGAGTTTCCTTTTCTCAAACAATTATTCATTTATTCAAAAACTGTATTGTGCATCTTCCCAGGGCATGGGGTGCATTATATCAGTGAATTAAATACCCTATCTCCCCACCCTCCTGGAGCTTGCATTGTAGTGAGGGAGAGACAATGTACAATCAATTGACATAGAATAAACACATTAATTACCCAGACTATTAAGAGGAGCTGTGCCTCAGATGAAAAAGAAAGACTAGAGCTAGAGGTGGAGATTGTAGAGGGGCAGATGACACTGTGCAGCTGGGTTGTCTGAGACTTCTCTTTAGAACATGGTATATGAGTTGAATGAACCCTCCCAACCTCCCACCCACCCTACAACTCCTGGGGAAATGTGACTTAGAGGACAGGGACAGTGGCACTGATCTCTGAGGTAAGAGGGTATGTTATGCATTAATTGCTGCTTGGAGGCCAGAGTGGCTGAAGGGAGGATAATAGGAGATGAGGTTAGAGAGATGATGTGGTGGTGGGCTTGGAACTTTCTGAAACATTTTATTTGGTTATGCATTGGGTTTAGCAAGGTAATGTGGTGGTTAAACAGAAACTAGCTAGAGGCAGAGGGTAACTGTGCAGAGTCCCCACGCAGGAGAGCTTTGAGCAGCCCTGGAGACTATTTCTGAGGCCAGAGTGCAATGGCTCATGCCTAGCTGGCATCATTTCCACTCGAGGGCTAATGGATTGGGGTGAAGGGTTGTTCAGACAGCAGAGCAGTGGTACATAAATTACCTAAGGAGCTGCTGTCCTGATCAGAGGTCATGGAGTGATTGAATGACCCCAGTTGCTTCATCAGTGGGCATAATTGCCTGACCTTGTCCTTCTTTTAAATATGGGGTTACATTGTCAGAGGGCTAAAACACTAGGTCTCCAACCTATCTGATGCCTCAATTTTTTTTAAGCCATAACTCAACTGTTTCCTATTTCACCTGATAGAAACAGGTCTGCATGTAGCCCTGAGCATCCACTATCACATGATTACATCTCACAGTTCATCCCTCTAGGCTGCGAGGTGAGGGCCCGGCTCACACATGGAGAGTTCTCCCACCTACCCACACTGTTAGGATTTGCAGGTGCATTCAAGGCATATTTGGGGACTGAGGATTGTTTGTACTGTATGTATTTTTCTTCTTTTCTTCAGAAGCCAGGAATGCCACAAATTCTGGAGGTACACAATAATTACATTGTGATGTACAATTTTCTTTGTCATAAAAGTGCAAATATCAGTGGATCAGAGTTGCTGACTATGAGCTGGGGGACACTTGGTGTAAGGAGATAGCTCCCTGCTTAGGCCAGCCCAGGCCACAGGTCACTGTCCCCAGGTGACTACCATTCTCTCATTTGTTTATCTTTATTTAGTAAGGAGACAATTCTTCGAAAGTAGTTACTAACACAAATAGGAGCAGGATTAACGTCAATATGGAACTTTATCTTTGCAAGAAGTGGGAGGATTTTACAAAAGTTATATCTGTTGAGCCCTCAGACCTTTGGGGGGAGAGGGTTGCTGGCAAGAATGACTGGATTCACAGTTGTGAGACTCCCTTTTCATAAATCCAGAAAATCTGATGCTTCACTGTACATGTGAGGCCACAACTGCAGCACATCATGGCAAAGGTGTGGACAGCTCTACCTCAAGGCTGCACCATGAAAAACACCTCCTACCTCAAACCCTATTCCTCACACATTCTGTCTCAACACAGTTCCACACCCAGTGTGGAAACCAAAATCTAGGCTTCTGAATGCACTGGTTTGTCACAACCGAGAAAGTCTTACAGTAAGCCAACCTTACATGGACTTATTACATGCAGTTTGACCAAACATGGTCAAATAATGATAATACTAAATTTTAAAAATAAAAGGAAACTTTAAAAGCAAAAATTTTTAATTCCTCCACACACCTCAATTGATTCAGAGAAGCTCTCAGTAAACCTTGCATTATTGTTAGTTGTATGATCTGCTGACTATTTCCCTGCCCTTAATTTTGTGGAAATCTGCCTTCCAAAAAAGCAAATGGTACCCCAAAAAGCAGGTAAATGTTAATGTGCTTAATAGAATTGATCAAGTGAAAATTTGAGACTTACTGAAAGGTTGCATGACTTGACAAGAAGTCAGATGGCATTGTGGAAAAAAATGAATCAAGCATCCCCAACACAGTAACTGTACCCTGAGCATGCTCATTTTTTCCTCAGTAGTGGTCTCCTTGGAGCCACATACCTGCAGATGCCAAGGGTCTACTGTACTATGAATGTACCTTGTCTCCCAGGGGTTCATATGCTGGAGGGTTGGTCCTCAGTGTGGTGATGTTGAGGTGGTGGGGCCTTTAAAAGGTGGGGCCAAGTGGGAGGCCATTGGGTCACAGGGATCCACAATGCCCTTGAAGGGATTGAGGTAATTCTCAAGGAATCCTGAGCAAGTTCTTGAGAGGAAATTTGATCCCTCCCCTCACTCTGGTCTCCCAGCTCACCATAGGATCTCTCCCACCACATACTTCCACCACCAACACCACCACCACTGTGATGCCTTTTGATGTGAAGTTCTCAAGCTGACCCAGGCTCCATACGCATGAACCTCCACATCTGTGAGTTAAATAAGTCCACAGGTATTTTGCTACACCAATGGAAAACAGCTTGTTACAGAACTCTTTGCAGGCAGCTGAGAATAGGACTTTGCTCATAGTAACTTTGGGTAAACTCTGTTAGCTCTGCTCCAGGGAAGTGCTGCCTTGAGCAGTGGCAGGGCCCCTGACATTCATGCTTTGGAAAAATAGGAATGTATTTACAGGTTTCTCAGCTTCTGTTTCTCCACACATGATGGTAGCCAGGTCCAAGAGGATTCAGAGCACTCTCAGCCTGAGAGTTGCACAGTTGCACAGCAGGGTGCACACTGACCTTTCAATCCACTATCTCTCCAGCTGCCCAACCCTCGACCCAGGCCCAGGACCGACCAACTGCCACCGTGTCGCCCCTGCGCACTCAAAACTCTCCATCCCGCCTGTCTGCCACCAGCCTCAGGCCCCGCTCCATGGTGTCCCCGCAGCACGGCCAGCAGCCCCCAGTTCAGATGTGCCCCCGGCCAGCTGTTCCCCTCACATCAGCAGCGTCAGCCATCACACCTCCCAATGTCAGTGCTGCCAACCTCAATGGGGAGTCTATAGGGGCGCCTGTCAGTGGCCTGGCCACACCTAGCCCCATGAACACAGGGTGCAAGCCAGATGAGAAGAAAAATGAAAAGGTAAGTGGCCCATCCCATTCTGGGCCTGCCCTGGGCCTTGGGCTGGCTTTGGCACAGATGCCAATGGTGTTTTGGACAATTGAGGCTTCAGCGTGGTAACCAAGGTCCTGTCCTTAGATGCAGGACTGTGATAGAGATGGAGACCAAGCTGCTTTTTTGTTAAGGTGGATCACGTGGGACTCAGGGTTCTGCCAGGGCCAACACAAGCTGACTACAGTTCTATACAGATCAGAAAATGACATCCCCCTCCTCAACATGCTGTAGTTCCTTCTGTTGGAAAGTCAAGATAATATACCCATTTTGTTAGAACTAGATTCTTATTGACATGTGCCTGGGTAACATAATGATAAATTGCAAATCTGCAATGTGAACAACACCCCCTCCCTTGTATGTGTCATTCTTGTGCAGTCTAAAACCTGTTCAAACATATGGATCAGGACTGTTTCCTAAGGAAAAATCAGAAAAACAGGAGCATGCCAACCTGTTAGTTAGTGTGGATGGCATTTTCAGTTATTCTTTTAGCTGTGAAGGAACCTAGGCTGACTTCATAAAAGAAAATCTGAGTCACTAAGCTGGCCCCAGTGGCCATCTGGCTAGATACCAGACTAACCAGGATTAGAATCTGTATTTCTAGTGTCATCCAGCAGAAATATAATGTAAACCACAAATCTAATTAAAATTTTCCAGTAGTCACATTTTAAAGAGCAAAGTTAATTTAAAGAATAAAATTAAACAGTGAGATTCTTTTCAATAACATATTCTATTAAATGAAATATCCAAAATATTTTTGTTTCAACATGAAATCTATATAAAAACTCCTGGTAAGGTATTTAAGGTTTTGTTCACATTAAGTCTTCAAAAGCCCCATGAAACTAAGTGAGCAGTTTTGCTTAGGGATACATCTAGCTCTGGGCAGAAAGCCACTCTGATTTTCCTACATTCTATGGCTCTCCTGAAACCTTTCCATATAAAACACTTGGATCCAGGTGTTGACTGAACACCTGAACAACAGATGTGTTGGAGTGAGGTCAGCCCTATCTCTCAGGAATGTCATCAGTGCTGACTCTCAAGCCCTCTGCCCAGTATCCCTGGAGGCTCCATATTCCTGTCCACTCCTGATCCTCAGCAGGAGCCTGGTGTGCCACAGTGATGGGCCAAGCCATGCTCCTGAGGGCCTCCAGGCCCCGGCATGTTTTCTCCTCCAGTCCTTGCCACTGGGGAAGAAGAGGCCTCAGTCAGGTGGCCTTCTGCTCATGAAGCTCATGCCTGCTAGTGACTTAACAGGGTTCCCAGTGTAAAGTGAAGTGGCTGGTCAGTGTTTTGTGCCAATTCCTGTTTGAAAATCAGGTTGGGCTTCATCTATTCCCTTCTATGTGTGTCCCATGTTGGGAAATGCAGCCAAGTAGTACCAGGAAGCAGAGGAGGGGCACTATCCTTCCCTGTTGGGTGGACAGCTTTCCCTTAGGTGTGATCTTCTGGCCTTCCAAACTACTTAGAGAAAGCCAGGGGACAGTTGTGGAAAGGGAGAGGCCATAATGTTCTGCAAGCATTTCTAGTGCTAGCCCTCCCTCTCTAGTTTATGTAGCAGGCAGGAGTGGATTCCATCTTACTACTGCTGGGACCCTTTCTGTGCATCATCAGAGGCATAAGTAATCTACTCTCAAAGTGAGGAGTTAATGAAAGCCCTCTGGGGTTGCTGCCAAAATACCCGGTGACACCTGGCAGGTATTCTACTTCCATTCAAGGTTTACTGCACTGCTAACAACCCTTCTACATCACCAAGGAGCAGTGGAAGCCAGGGACACCCAATGGGTACCTCTCCATGAGGCCTTTGGTGCCCAGTCTGCAAACATTGGAATATTCTTCTCCTCTGGCCATTCAAAGCCACCACTGGCAGCAGAAATGCCCAGGCCAGTACCAGTCTCTACTGGACTCAGCAAGCTTGAGGCTGGGCACAGACCCTAGGCAGCAAAGGCAGTAGGCCACAGAGGTGCCTAGGTATGAGTGGCCTGGTCTGGCCTATGTGAGGTTAAGTGGGTACACACCCACAGCCTCAGCAAACTCCAGGGCAGAAGCACATCAGCCTTCCATATGTTGGGTATGCTTTTCCATTCTCACCTCTCAAATAAACAAATAAGAATGGCACTGATCTACAAGACCATGTGTTAATGCTTTTTCCCTTCTATATTCCCAGGTGAGTTTTCCTAATTAACAGCAAGGCACAAAACATCCAAAGTTGATATTTGTAACAAAAAATGGTTAAATCCCATTTGTGTCTTGGGAGCAAATGAGCCTGTATAATCAGCACCAACAGTTGCAGGTGCAGGCCAGGAGCCAAGAGAGGGGCCTGGGACAGGAACCAGCACAACTTGTTGCCAATCCCCAATCAGCCCATGAGCACAGCCAGACAGACTTTATTTTGGGCACACAGAGACTGGCTTCACACCTATACCTCTTTCTGGGTAACCTATAATATATGTGAATGTATCTAATTACAGGAAAGAATGTTTTTTAAGTATCTGGCAGTGTTCTCCAGGCTGTTGCTCTGGCTAAATTTTCTTCAGGAAAAACAGTGAACTTCAAGCTCTTCTATCCATTAGGACTAAACCTCACGTCACTGCCAGCAAGGTTTCATAGTACTGAGCCTCCTGGAATTTGGTCCAGACACTTCCAAGCAAGTACAAGAGGAATTTGTGATTGAGGGGCCTGTGGTCTCTTGAGGTAGGAATGGGAGTCAGTTCCCCAAAGAGCATTGACAGATTTGTACTTTGGCATCCCTGGATATGGAGAGGAAAAGGCTCCAGGCCCAGCTCTATGTTGGATAGTACCTGTGACTGTAGTGGGAGGTTGAGGGAGACTGGTCCTGGGAGTCTGGTGCTCTGATGCCATACTGGTGGGGATTGGGCCTTTTGGTGTTGCTACAGGGGGCTGTGACAATGCAACAGGCCTGTTGGCCTAGCATGGTATGGAGGCTTCTGGGACAATGCTGACAAGGGTGGCAATTCTCTCCTTTCAGCTGGGCATCTGCCATCCTGTGAAGGAACCTCTCCAGACTGTTCCCCCAGACTCTCACCTATCTAGTCATATCTGCTCCTTTCATGGGCTACCCTGTGGCCAGGCTGCCACCTATAGCTATAGGAACCTTCCTGTACAGCTACCTGCTTCCCCAAGTGGAGCACAAGTCACAAGGCCTTTCCAGTGCAGTGGAGATCCAGCCTGGGTACCTGTGCCAGGGCAGAGGTTGGGCCAGGAATGAGACTAGAATGGGGGACAGCACTGACCCAGTGATTTTCTCAGAACCCTGGACAGTACTGGGAACTCTTCCTGCATCCAGGTTCATCTGGGTCGAGTAAGAGTGTGTCCTTGTTGGGGACATGTCTGCCTAGGATAGACCTGGGTGGAAGAATAGACCTCTGAAGCCACCAGTCTAGAGCAGATCCCTAGTGCAGGCAGGACTCTGCAGGGCTGCATGAGTCCCTTTATAGACCTTTGGGTTAGAGAGGTTGAAGGCACCCCAGGGCATGAGGCTGACCCCATGGTATGGAGACCAGAGGTGGAGGTCATGGTCTTTGGGAGTTGCAGCCGGTGGACATCATTGGTGGTCTCACCATCAAACAACGTTCAGGAAGGGTCTGGATACAACGTTTAGATTAACCTTTTCTGTATCCACAAATTACAGAGTACAAACCCAATGTGATAGGACATTTAAGAAGAGGGTCTGGGGATGTAAGTTATCCTTTTACACTTAAAATTTTAATTTTTGTGCCTATCACATACCAGCAGTTGTATCCATAGGTGATAGTTTTCTGGTTTCGAGACCTCAAAGACATGAGTACCATATGACATTGGTTCTTCCCTGGAGCTCCAGGGGGAAGTCATCTGGCTGTGGGCCCTGATACCTGGTCATCTGCATATTGCTGGGAGTGCACATGTGCCAGGCAGATCCTGGGTGCTGGGTTCCCAGTGATAGGAGGTACAATCTGACCTGGAGGAATGCATGGTCCAGTCCAGGTATCTGATAAACAAAATGACAGTAGAGTGTGCTAGGCCTGGCATGTGATTAAAGGGTCAACAAGAAGGTACCCTGTCAGCACAGGAAGCTCCCCAGGGCACAGGTGGGACCTTCCAGTGGAGGTACAGCCAGAGCACAGACAGAGATTGTGCCTGAAGTGAGGAGTTTTAGGGGTTGTGGGGACAGGCACCTCTGAAGGACTTATTGCCAGCCCTGCTCAGCACTTTGTTCTGCCTGGCACTGGGCAGGAGGGTGGAATACAAGGCCTGGTATACATCAGACAAGGGACTGATAACCAGAATATATAGGGAACTCAAAACACTAAACTCTCCCAAAATTAATGTACCAATAAAGAAATGGGCAACTGAACTAAACAGAGCTTTTTCAAAAGAAGAAATTCAAATAGCCAAAAAACACATGAAAAAATGCTCACCATCTGTAGCCATAAAGGAAATGCAAATGAAAACCACACTAAGATTCCACCTCACCCCTGTTAGATTAACCATCATTAGAAACACCACCACCAACAGGTATTGGTGAGGATGTGGGGAAAAAGGAACCCTCATACACTGCTAGCTTCTTAAAAAACTAAACATAGATCTGCCATATGATCCAGCAATCTCACTCCTGGGGATATGCCCAAAGGAATGTGACAGAGGTTACTCCAGAGGCACCTGCACACCCATGTTTATTGCAGCACTATTCACAATAGCTAAGTTATGGAAACAGCCAAGATGCCCCACTACTGACGAATAGATTAAGAAAATGTGGTATTTATACACAATGGAATTCTACTCAGCCATGAAGAAGGATGAAATCTTATCATTCACAAGTAAGTGGATGGACTGGAGAACATCATCCTGAGTGAGGTTTGCCAGGCTCAGAAGACCAAAAATCGTATGTTCTCCCTCATATGCGGACATTAGATCTGGGGCAAATACAGCAATGTGATTGGACTTTGGTCACATGATAAGGCGAGAGCACACAC